ATTGATTTGATTTAGATTTCTCTTCTATTCGTTCACTTTGGATTTTGTAAATGGATAAACATAAACAACTACAATATATATTTTTGAAAGCATTCTTACTTTACAGCATTTTTTCACACCTGCCTAAAACTTTTGCATAGTACTGCATATTTTAAAATGATATAAGGTATAAGAACCCTGACTTTGTGCAAGTATACAAAGTGTGCAAGTGTAAGAATTGATGCTGGTTTGAAGCCAAAGGGTGGTCACACCAAACATTGATTTGATTTAGATTTCTCTTCTATTCGTTCACTTTGGATTTTGTAAATGGATAAACATAAACAACTACAATATATATTTTTGAAAGCATTCTTACTTTACAGCATTTTTTCACACCTGCCTAAAACTTTTGCATAGTACTGCATATTTTAAAATGATATAAGGTATTCAAATATATAGAACTAGACTTTGAAAATTTATATTCAGTTTTATGATGGTTGTAAATCTTCTTGCATTTACTTTGTACTTTTCTTACTTTTTTCTTTTATGCTCTCTTTTAATTTTGTTTCATTATTTTTCCTTTTAAAATGTTACACACACACACACACACACACACACAAAGGAATGTCAGTGGTCTTTTGCATGTTATACTAATTCCAAGTCCCATTCACAGGTTGGAGAAAAAGTGTTGTTGTCCTATTGATAAATATAATCCTTTGCTGAACATTAAGAGAAACTGCTTTACCTGGTACACTAAATTCCTCAACTCTCTCATGCTGCCATTTCTCAGAAGACACTGGATTAATCAAAGAAAGAAAATAATTAAATATCTAGGTTGAGAAAATATTTTTTCTATATTTAACTTAATTCCCGGATGTTGTATGTACTTCTACTCATGTCACTGTCATATTATTAGGTCCAGGTATCTCAACAGTTTAATGGACTTCTCCAGACTAGTCTCAGGTTCTCTCAGCCTTTAACCTTGTTGTCCAAGCTGCTCACAGCCATCACTCTGTGTTATTATTTTCTGCATCTCTCCTTCAGGATTACAGGCTTCAGGGCCCTCAGAGGCAGAATTCCTGCTTAAGATCAATAGTAGGAGATGGTAGGCTACCATTTCAAAGTATATAAAAATTATTAAATCAAGATTCATATAATCATCCCTTTTAAATATAATCATTTAAAAGAGAGCACAGCTATAGCAGAAACATAACTGAAGAATAGATATTCCATGTACAGTAAGTCAGAAATATAGCTTATATCAAGAAATATAGCTTATATGAGAAACCAGATTTAAGATTTAAATGAAATTTTCTTTATGATGCATCTGAGAAAGAACTTCACAAGCTTGAGATAATAAAGGAAAACCATTACATTGACTAAAGGCCAAAATTCACTGATGAGCGCATGCTCAGGCCACATGCATCTTGCTTGATGGTATCTATATGAGCTTGACTCACAATTACTTTGTGGACATTTCCATGTAGTTTTCTTGAGAACAATACAAAGTGTTTGCCATTTCCTAGGGTTGCCAGATCTGCCATCTAGTGGTTGTCTGGATATTTGCAGGTCAGATCCAATAGCCCTACTACTGCTTTCCTACTTGAAAATAGTTTTTCTAACATAAAACTTCAGAGAAAAGAGCACTGAACTTGGAAAGACCCAGAGTACAGAATGCCTTAGACAGTTCAAAAAAAACCCATCAAAACCCACTGCAACAAAGGATAGTTTATGTGACATTTAACTGACCATTATTTGTACTTGCCTGATGATGACAATCAATTCATTGTCCAAATGTTACATTTTTAATATTATTTACAATTGTGTTTTACATTAAAAAAAAAGGATTTTTATGTGACTGGAAATAGCTCCAAATCCAGATTCATATAACATTTGATACATTATTAATACTACTTGCTCATGAGTAAACCTGGTCTCTGATGGTCATGGCCTAGAGATTCTCCATGGTAGGTTACCGGACAAGAAAAATAAATCAAACATAATCTAAAAAGTGAACTATTTGTTCTACCTCTAATGGCTATGCCCTATACCTACCCATGTCCCAAGCCCCCCAAAACAAAAAATAGCCACCACTATTACTATGCAACTATTAAAAGATCCTCCTTCCCTCCAATTGTTCTTTATCACTGGGAGGAAGGTGTTACAGGTGGCTATAGCAGCTTTCTTCCTGGCTGAAATACCAATTAGAAGATTTTGTTGCTGTTGTTATTAGGAAGTGCAGTTACCATTTGTGACAATAGCACTTTTTTCCCTAGGCAAAACAAGAGTTGGGCCCAGGAAAGAAGTTAGATCCCCTGCATGCTACAATATTCATCCAGCTTGTTTTTTCCCCTTCTTTTTAACAGAATCCTGATGAATTTGCTAACACATGAGCAAATGATTTGGTTACCTGTGACTGAGATATCAACCCGGCAGAGTTAGACTCTTCTCTATCACTTGAGACATTCAAGTACTTTTTCAGTGAATGTGGTCCATTGACATGTAAGGAAACAGATGTTTTTTCTTTCAACAAACCTAAAATCATGCATACATTTAATTCTGTTACTTTCCTACAACATATTCAAAATAATGTAAACTTTCTCTAGCACTGTATAAAATGTAAAATCATAGCAACTCTGTCACATAGCAAATCTGTCATACATATAGGCAAAAATGTAACAGGAGCACCCAACATCCATCTGAAAATTTAATTTGGGTTTAATGTTTAATTAGGAATCTTGAAACCTTGTATATTTAGGAACACATCTGATTTTCCTCCAAACTTTAATGTTGAATATCATCTACACTGCTGAAAAGTGAAGTTAATACAAGTTGAATAGTTCAAAATGGTAGGAAATAAGATTTTTATACTTGAAAGGAGATTGAGACAAACATTTTAGCATCTTATAGAACCGCCTATGATGCTTTCTGCCCCACTCCTGACCCCGCCACAACCCAGCATATTGGCTTAATGGGCAATAGGTAATAGGTGAAAACCCAGTACAACTTTACTATATAATTTTCTATCTAACTAGAAAATTATATAGTAAATGAGTTGCTAGAGTTACTCATATTATATTTTGAAATCTCATTTCTATTTGTATTGGTACTGAGAGTACATTTTAGGCTAATATAATTCCATCCCATCTCTTTCCTGTCCCACTATGTTTAAAGGAAGTGTATTCACTTCCATTTGATAATTTCACTTATATTTTTGACAAAGAATTAAGTAGCTATGTCCTCAGCTAATCTATGAATAACTCTAGGGAGCACAGAATGTCAAAGTACCTTATTTTGGTCACTGATCAGCCTTACATAACGTAAAACAGAAATTATATAAAAGATAAACAAAATAAAACAAAATCATAAATATAGATAGAAACAAATAAACAGGACGGTTAAAATTTAGTGTAATTACTAAAGTCTTTGCAAGTTTAATCAAGTCAAACTGTTCCTAGTGAGGTCCTATCAAATCTTGTTGGCTATTAAACAAAATATGGCAACTAGTAAGACAATGCATGATCAGCTAAAAGATAATTGAGATAAAAAGAGTCAACACTGCCTGGTAATTGAGTTAATGATGATATGATAAATTTGTGTTGCAGATCTTGATAGGACTGACAATAAATAAGCAAATGGGCTGTTCTTTCAATGGCTCCTGACTTACAGTGACGAAGGCATTCATTATATGGTATTTTCTGGTATTTCTCTTCCAAGATTGCAATTTACAGGGCATCACAGCATGCAAGTGTCTTCAGCATTTTGGTATGGTGATCAGATTAAGATATCTAGCCATTTATGACTGGTAACTGGGCTACCTAAGAGGACATCAGTAGGAATTAGGCTGTGCTCAATTTGACACTCCATATCAAATAATTATTGTCTGAGATTCTTCCTGGCCAAGTCATACTCCATTATTTTGCATGCATGAGGAGAGAAGTCATAATAATGCAGCTTTTCCTCCAACCCTTTTTTCCATTTAAAGATAAAGGGGTCAGCTTACACATAAGGTTTTAAGCCTACAGGTTTTGGCCATAGAACATTATGACATGCTCCCTAGTTCTGTGATGTACCATGCTGTGAGGGTACATCTGCAGAGATCTTGTGTGAGAAAATGCAACAATATTTTGCAAGTGCTAGAACAACCTTTTGTCAGCATATAGGCAGCCAGTGTAAACAGTTACAATTTCTTGACCCTCCTGCCAACCTTCTCTATGAACTGTAAAAAGAATTCTTGCTCCAGCAGCGTAACGATGTACAAGAAAGAAGATTCGCACTGTGCAACAGATGGAGGAAATTTGTTCCAATCTCTTTCCTAGAGAAGTCAAGTTAACAAGTTTAGCTAAAATTTAAAGATGTTAATCCAAGTACTGTCTTCAACTTTAAGATGAAGAAGAACAGCACTAGGCAGACACAGAGGCACCTGAAGAATATTTCTTAAGAGCTTGAACTGAACAGACTCAGTCTTTGAAAAGGCTGGAATAAATAGCGAGTTGTGCTCCATAAAGGAGCTGCACACAAACGTTTACTGAAGAGTTTTATTGCAGCAAGAACAAACTAGACACCCTAGGAACAGTAAAAGGCCTGGATAGCCGATGAAGATTTAGATGCATTTTGTGTTACGTAATCTCTATGGACATGCATTTTGCCTGATTCATGAAAGATTACTTCAAGGTATTTAAAGCAGTTTACTTCTTCTAAACTGTGCCCATTTAGCGACCACTTTAGCATTCTTAGCTTTTTAGTGGACACCATTTTTTTTTTGGTCATAATTAATCTCTAAATATTGATTGTCACAGTAGAAGCAAGAGCATTTAATGCTCTTTGTAAATCTACTGGGATTTGAGAGAGAATTACTATACCATCTGCATAAAGGAGTACAGGTAGTTCTTAATTTATGAACACAATTGGAACCAGAACTTCTGTCCTTAAGTGATGTGGTTGTTAAGTGAGTTGCACCTGATTTTACGACCTTTTTTGCCACGGTTGTTAAGCAAATCACTGTGGTTGTTAAGTGAATCACACTGTCGTTAAGTGAATCCAGCTTCCGCCATTGACTTTGCTTGTCAGAAGCTGTCTGGGAAGGTCGCAAATGGTGATCACGTGACCCAGGATGCTGCAACCATTGTAAATAGATGCCAAGTGCCAACAATAGTTGTCAAGTGCCCCAATTTTGATCATGTGACCACAGGGACGCTGCGACAGTCATAAGTGCGAGGATCAGTCACAAGTTATTTTTTCAGCGCTGTTGTAACTTTGAACAGTCGTTAAATGAATGGTCGTAAGCTGAGGACTACCTGTATACCAAGATGCTTGTTTGCCAGTTTTAGAGGATGATAATCTAAATTGTCTAAGTGAGCAATGACTGAGTTAATATATAAGCTGAACAACAACAGAGCCAAAATGCAGTCCTGCCTCACTCCCTTAAAAGTTGGAATTTTTTAATAAGTTGGACACAGCAGTTTTTGCATAGATTGAATTTTCATATAATTTTGATATCAGAAGTAGATGAAAATCAGCTGACATTGACAGTAATTTATGCCAGAGTTTATCTCTACAGATCTGATTAAATGCATATTGAAAAACAAATTCTGCATATAAGACTAGATTAGATTTGGAGATGGTAAAATATAAAGGCTGAACAGAGTGGCCTGATCAAAAGCCAAATTGTTGTTCTGCCAGAATATTTTCTGTATCCATCCAATTCATACAGGTATTTGGCATACAACTTGCTGACTCTAATTAACAGGCTAATAGGTCTGTAGTTTGGAGGCAGCTTTCTCTCATCCTTTTTGTATACTGTATTGCAATTATTATTGCCACCTCCAATCTTTTGGGACACATGCAGTGTGATCAACGAAAGAGAAAAGAAAAGCCAAAATTGTTGCCCACTATTCCAGGTTGTTCCTGATTATCTCTGATGTTATGTAATCATTTTGAATTTGAGTTGCTGTAATTTCTTTTTGTTTCTCACATTTACAAGGAAGAAAATATTATTGCTGTAGTGTTAATATTCTACAGGAATCAGTATGAAACTCAGTATGGGAGATGCTGCTCTGTCTGAGCACAAAATGCAGTATTATTCATTTATCATGAAAGCATCATCCAATCTAAAGTGACAAAATCATAGATTAATTTCCTCTATTAACCAAGAAAGCAAGAGAGATGACATGACTGAAAAAAAAAAATCTAATTTGGGATTCTCCTGGCCTGTAAACCAAGATAGACTACAGAGCATCCACAAGAGAAAATCAAGGAAACAAGAAAAAAATTCCTGTGCATCTTTAAAATAAATGGCAGTAAGTTATATACCAATGTTAGCATAGAGAACTTTAGGATGTCTTCTTGAATGAGATTTGAGATTAAGGAAAGACAGACAATCTATCAAGCTGCATCTGCAGAGCCAAACAAAAATACTCTTTTAGTAAATGAACCCATCTTCTATGTAAGTGGCCTGAGGATCTCTAACAGAGAAGCATTAAATAGTTAACAGGGCAATGGTTCTCATTGAATGTGCTGAAGTCTGTGAGCTTTTGACTTTTAGAGGCAGAGAAAAACCAAGAGTGCACTGCTTTTCCTAAATTGAGAGCATGACTAGAAACACTATTTGGCTTTTGAGTAGTGGGGTGTGGGGAGAATGCACTCCAAATCATAATTTTCATTTAGTTAAAGTCCCATCTAGAGCTTTTAGGTTGATGCACACCAAAAGGAATGCAGAATGTGTTTCAGGATGTTATTTTAAGTCTCAACTGTCATTATTGTTTGAAATCTAATCACAGTGATAAAGACACGATTAATTGTTTTTCTGAGATTTCTTTGATATGACTGTATGATCAGTTAAGACCATTTTAGCCAGTGAATTTTTACAGCACTTTCACCTCTGGCTTTAATAAATAGTACCTGTTAATTCATGTGCTGCATCATTCCAACCGGATTCATTTTCCATATTCACTCCTTTCTTTCTAAGCTTTAAATCAGGCAATCCACTTTTGATCTGCTAAGAACAAAAGATTTTGATCTATAACATGATTTGCCTTTTTATGAATCCTTTTTTTTAAATATATTTTTTAAGAATTATAAATGTAAAGAATAAAAGCCAATACAGGCTACAAAAAATACAAACAGAAAAATACAAAAGAAAAAAGTGTGAAAAAAAGAAAAAAAGAAGTAATTTCTCCCTTCATTCCAGCAAGTAAAGACAATCTTAATGACTTATCACTATCTCTAAATACAGTATAATCTCTCTTCACCCCATTATCTCATATACTGAATAAAAAACAAAAACAAAATCCAAATACTTTGTAAGTCGTTCTTTATCAGCAAAAGTCCAGTGAAGGTAACCAGATGTAACTATTTTTCTCCTTTAGCCCTGGTCAAATAAGCCAACCTTGTATTCCTTCTGAGTTTTTAAAAATACTTTTAACCCCTTCAAAAGGAGTCCCAGAGCTAGTTTTCTGCTCATCTGTGTTTCAAGCCAAAAATCTTTCAGAACTCTAGCACATTTCTTTTGTATATCCAAAAAGTAAAGTTTGTTCTTTTGTTTGTCATTTCTAATAAAGTCCTTCAAAACCTTAACAGAGCTTTTCTGTATATCCAGTAAAAAAATTATCCAAGTCAGTTTCCTGGTTCAATATTTGTATATCTCCTTTTGGGAATAAATCATCACTGGTTCCATTTGTGTGCCTATATCTTTCTCTATACCATTCTCATTACTTGTTACATTTAAGTCCGCCTTCAGAGTAATTTCAAAATAATGCATTGCAACTTGTTCTTGTTCTGTAATTTCATTACATGCTCTGTCAATCTTGTCAAGAAATTTATCTATTTTGTCAGGAAGCTTGGCAGACAAATATTCCCAAGTTTATGTTATAGATTTCTGCTCCATTTTCTTTATCCTCTAGCTCCCTCTAGTGTCCAACCTTCAAAGTCCCCTTATCATGAAAAAACTCAAAACAATTGCCATTTTTCCCATGAGAAAGTTTCTTCTCATTAATTCAGAGCTCTTTGTGGGCATTTAAAATTATAATTCCAAGTCCATCTGAGTCCTTAATCCATTGATAAACTTTCTAAAGTTCATATTCTGAGCACCCTTTTGCTGTTTAATCCAAAATGTAATATTTTTCAAACAGTTTTTAAAATCATATTTAAAAGTTCTTTCTCTAAGGAGAAGGTGACTCACCTAATGAATACAATATAACTTGCCATTTTGAAGGGTCTTAAACCTTTTAAGGCAGCAGAATAAAAATCCAAAGTGGTTAAGAAGTGAGGCTCAGTCAAGCTTACTGTCCTTTAAAAGTCTATGTTAACAAGTGGGACCAAAGATGGTTCCTCCCTCGACTCCCAGCCACTCGACCCATAGGCAAACCACAAAACGATTCCTGCAGTTTACTCACTAGGACCAGCTGTGTACAGTCACGTGGGCTATCTCAAAGATCTCTCCTTAATCCGGAGAGCATTTTGACAGCCAGGATCCTGCATCCCATGCCAATATCCATCATAACACTGTCCCGCTGCAAAAGGGGACATTTAGCTCGCCATGGAAGTCCACTTTTTTCTAAGTCCTGATTTCAACTTTCTGTACAAGCTCTAGGTATCCTGTGACAGTGAGCTGCTTAACCTATTAACGCTGATTTTTTAAGTGGCCATATAAATATTGTGGAGCTGACACATTTTGGTAGGAATAACCTCCTTTCACCATATGTCAGGGCTCAGCTAGTGGCTGAAAGATTCTGGCCTAACTTTGTGGACTCGTCTGAACAGGAGAGCAGGAATGCAGAGACTGTATACAAGCACCTGTCATCAACAGATACGATGAGGGCTAGAGATAAACCCAAGTCTCCTCTTCGAAGAGGGCATTACTACAAAAGAATATGAAAGATTTGGAATGATTTATTTGCTTGTACAATGTGTTCCAAATGTTGTAGCTCTTTTTGGCAGAAGGATATCCTGACCTTATGCCCTTGTGTATGCCCAAAAGCTCTCCCAACTTTCAAGTGTGTAAAAGGGGGCAGACTTGCTCTTTGCTGAAGCTGAGTAGGACAGAGAACAATAATTGATTTTTTTTAAAAATTATTTTGTTTAAAAGGAGGTTTAGGTTGAATATTACAAACAACTGTCTAATGCTTAGAGTTCTTAAACACTAGAGCAATCTGCCTAAAACTCTGCTTTGCTGGAGATTTTCAAACAAGTGGTGGATAGTCACCTGTCAGGGATGGTTTAGTGGTTTCTAGCACCAGGCAGAGGGACTGGACTAGATGACCAGAAAATCATTTCAATGTCTACATACTGCGATTTTATGAATTTTATCTGAGCTCCTTGAGATAATGCAGGAGTCTGGTAGCAACTTTTCAGTCTAACCAATTTTATTAAAAGGTGTAAGCCTTTATGAACTACAGCTCACATCCTTATCTGTGTGAGGTAGCTAAATTGTTATAGAAATTGGCATGAGTGCTGAAGGAAAAAAGAGAGGGGAACAGAGGGTGGCTATGCAGATACAGGTTACATATGAGACAGGAGAGGGACCATGGAGTATTATAGGAAAACAGAGATGACCACTCAGCAACCAGTTACAATTAAGATGTAGTCATGGTCTCATGCATTACAAACAGATTTCTACTTATAGAACCCAACTAAGTGAAGAATGGAAGAAAATGATTGCTTGACAAATTGTCAGCCTCACTATGTAGACCAAACCAAGAAATCAACACCACCAGAAGGTTAAAATTACTTTTATTAATATTGGCTATAGGAACAGAATCTTGCAAGTCTCTGCCCCTCCCCCCCCAACACTTTGTACTGATCCCTTCTTCCTTTCCCTTCCGCTGGGTGAGAGCCAGGGGGTAGATTTGGTGGGGGGTGAATGGGATGGGTACCTCCACCAGCTGGTGGGAGCAGCAGGGTGGGGGTGCCTTGGATGCCAGTGGGGTGTGAGAGGGTGTGAATGTGTGTTCTTTCCTCTGGGTGAGAGTCATAGGAGGAATTGACAGAAAATGAATGGGAAGGACACCCTCTACCTGCTGGTGGGAGCAGCAGGGGAGGTGCCTGTGAATGTTTGTGTGTGTGACTGTGTTGCAGTAAAGTGGGGAGGTGGTGGCTAGGTACCTTGAAGGCGCTGAGAGCTGGTAAAGCTAAAGTGCCTCAGGGTGCCTGGCTTCTTCTCCTGGGGATGGCTGGTGAGGACAGTAGGCGCTTCCCAGCCTTGGAATTGAGGGGTTGGAAATGGAGATGGGGCTGCTGTTGAGGGGCAGGCCAAAATATTATGGTGGGCAGGCCAAAATAATTATGGTGGGCAGGTGGTGATGGGCATGGGGAGATAAGGGGGAAGATGGAGAGTGGGACATTCCCAGGGAACATGGGACCGTTGTTTGATTCCGGTCTTGTGTTCCAGCTCCTCAGTCTCAGCCCCAGTAACCTGTCACCAGATCTTCAGAGGCTCTGGCTTCTGGCTGCTGCTTCTTAATGCCAGGTTGGTTTGTAATTAGGCTGCCCTCATCAGTGATTTAACCCTTGATGAGAGGGCCGACCTGGCGTGTATCACCGAGACCTGGCTGGATCCGGAAGGGGGGGGGTTGCCCTTTCAGAGTTATGTCCAGTTGGGTTTTGGGTGTGTCATCAGTCGAGATCCCAGGGCAGGGGTGGAGGTGTGGCGATAGTCATCCGGGAATCCCTTATAGCCTTCAGGGGCGCTGTACCACAGGTCACTGGATGTGAGACCCTGCTCATTAAGTTGGGCTCTAGGGATCAGCTGGGATTGCTGCTGTTGTACAGCCTCCCTGCTGCACAGCAACTTCCCTGCCTGAGTTCCTAGACTCCATTTCTGGGCTGGCAGTAGTTCCCCAGACTTATAGTTTTGGGGGACTTCAATCTGCCTTCTCTAGGAGTGGGGTCTGAGGTGGCTCGGGAGTTCACGGCCACCATGACAGCCATGGGCCCAACTCAGATCATCCAGAACCTGACATGGGACAGCGGTCAAACACCAGATCTGGTGTTCCTGTCAGAGCAATAGCTATGTGATCTGAAATTGGGGGAACTTTTAGTGTCCCCCTTGTCATGGTCAGATCATGCCCTAATTACCATGGGATTCTCCTGCGCCACTAACCACTGCAGGGAGGCTGGACCCGTTAGATTGGTCCTCCCCTGGTGACTAATGGATCCGGATGGGTTCCAGAGGGAGTCGGGGTTTGTTCCTGCTGGTCTGTTGCACGGTCCATCGAAGCCCTGGTCACCGCTTGGGATAAGGGGGCGGCTGAGGCCTTGGATTGGATTGCACACATGCAACCTCTCCCCTCCTGTGGATCCTGCCACTCCCCATGGTTTATGGAGGAGCTGAGGGAGATGAAGCGAGAGAAGAGACATATAGAACGTTGCTGGCACTTGATGAGAGACAACTCGACTGAACACAGGTCAGAGCTGCTATTAAGGCCTACCTAGTGGCGGTAAGGGTGGTGAAGCATCATTACTCCGCTCTTATTGTGTTTGCAGATAGCTGCCCTGCGGCCTTGTTTTGGGTGACACAAGCCCTCCTGAACCTCTTGCAGGGGCATGCAGAGGAATTTGCTCAGAGTAGAGTATCTAACTTCTCCTTTTTGAGGAAGGGGATTGAGAAGGTGGTTTGCGCAGCAGTTTAGGAGGACCTTGAATGAAGCAGATTATATGGATCCCTTTCAGTCAGGATTCAGTCCTGGATATGGGACTGAAACAACATTGGTCGCTTTTGGATGATCTCTGGTGAGGGTCGGATGGGGTTGTACATCCATCCTTGCCTTGTTTGATCTCTCTGTGGCTTTTGATACCATCAACCATGGTACCCTTCTGGATCGGCTCAGAGGATTGGGGTAGGTGGCATGGTGTCCTTTCTTGGGCTGATTCCAGTTGGTGGTGGTTGGAGAGGAGAGATACTGCCTTCGGCCCTTATTATGTGGAGTCCCACAGGGTTTGGTGCTCTCCCCTTCCTATTTAACATCTATATGAGGTTGCTGGGTGAACTTATCCATCACTTCTTGGACCGGGAATTCCTTGGATGGCTACTCTACTCAAGTAGAATTTAGACGAACATCTATCTGGAATGCTTTAATTTGGATTCCTATAAAGAGCATGGGGTTGCACTTGATGACCTAAATGCCTTCTGAATCTATGTTTCTATGGCAGTAAGCTCAAGTATGCACAACGTGGTTTTCAATCAAAAAATGTGCTAGAAATGGCCATCGGTTGAAGGGATTTTACTGTCATACTTCATGCTCTTACAGACATAGAGGCCATAAGCCCAAAGGTAATGTGGTAATGTTCCAAACATCCTGACTATATAAGTAGATGAAAAACAGAAGACACACAAGAGAATAGTTAAAAGAACAGAATCTATAAGAAAAATAAAAAAGACACTGAACATTACCCATGCTATGGCAGTCAGAAAACAACTGAGGGGAATGAGGAAATACTGCCAGGAAAAAAAAGTATTTTTGAAACTGGGGTATGCAGAACTGAAGACAATACTAAGTTGGGCCTGACTAGGGCAGAGTAGAGCAGGATAATTACTTCCCAAATTGGTAGTGAAAAAATATGGCTTACACTTTAGTGGGCTACTGTGAGTAGCTAGCAGAAAACTTGTTTACAAGTTTAAAGGAAGAAAGTCTAATTTGAGCAAAACTTGCTCAGTGAGAATTCTCAAAGTCTACTTAAATAGAAGGATTTCTGATATTATTGTTAGTAACTCTGTTCCAAATCCCTGATTTCTTTTAACTACCCTAATGGATATACACAGAAGCGAAGGAACAGTATTGTTTTGCAAAATGTTCATATTATACTAGTATTATAACACATTACAATAGATTTTTCAAATTTTATAAAATTACCTGTCTGGTGAGATAATTCAGGAAACTCTCATCTTTATCAGGGTCATGTGGGTTTGGAGTTGCATATTCTACTACAAACAGTTTTGTTACAATGGCACTCTCTCTGCAATCTCTGTAATTTAAGAATCCAGAAACGTTAGACAAGACATACATAACTTATGGCTCAAAGAGGTAGAATAGCACACCAATCATATATAAGTGACTTAACACAGACAACAAACCTAATTTTTTACTGGCTCTCTGATATTACAAAAGGGAAAAAAACTGGTAAAGGCTCTCAAATTAAGCTTGATTTTCTTGGCAAATATAGAGAAGTGGCCTGCCATTGTCATAGATTATTTATAGCTTGAGAATGTCCTGGTAGTCTCCCATGTACTAACCAGGTCTCACACTGCTTAGCTTCTCAGCCCTGACAAAGCAGCTACCACCTGCTGAGAAGGGCAGCACAGATAAAACAAAGAAATAAGCTAATACGTATTTAATTAACATATTTATAACCAACCTTTTGATTTAGGAAAGACTTCTCAGCGTGGCTAGCATGATTGAAAATTAAAGAAAAACAAATCCCATCAATAAAACATTAACTTAAAAAAAAACAACTAAAAATTTGCAGAGAATCAATCATGTAAACATTACCAAAATAAATAAACTGATTTCTCAACCACATGCTTAAATATCATTGTTCAAGTCATTGATCATGTCTGCTTTATATAGTAAGCATGATTTAGTTTTAATCAGGGATAAAGTACTAACTCATCAAACTCATTCCAGATAACACAGCATACTGTAACTGACTCCAGCTTGCCAATTCCTTTCTTTTGGGTGGTATCCCAGCCCCTTTTGTAGTGACTGGTTAGTAGGCACTCTTTTTTCAAAACAAACAAATGCAGAAAAGGTACAGGAGGCCTGACTGACGAGAGGGCTACTCCACATGGGATGGAGTGGGTCTCCCTACCACCATCTTGTGCCCTGGATTCACATTCTACCACATCTATGGGTACTGAAAACAAAACTAAAACAACAGAGCTATTGCTGCAGGAGCAGCTCAACTTTCTAATTGCTCTTCCTCTCATGTTCTGTAACCAGAGGTTGCTGGAATGGGAAGTTAACAACTGGTTAAATTTCAGTTTGGATTTAGGAAACATAAACCAAAATATGGTTATAGGCTGTGGTTAAAGTGTAGCATAGTCTGAGTCATGATCTATATTCACATGGCAAACAAAATGTAAGAAGCTTCTCTTGAAATACAAAGAGAATTTTAAAAGAAGGAATTGTGTCAAGTTCATGACAGAGGAAAAAAGAGTAAAATATAAATCCTTTTTTCCCAAGTTGTTCAGACTTCCCCTGGATTGCCACTTTCAGAACAAAATACACTTGTTTGGCATTACTAAGGTGAAGAGAGAAATGTCACTATTCCAGCAAAAAGACTGAAAACTTGTAGGAAAATGCTCAAACTCAACAACAGATCTGAAAAAGCATGTTTTAATTATGACATATACAGATGATTAGCAATTTTGTAAATTTTTCTTTAAAAAATATCATTCTGGCATAGAATTCAAGAAATCTTGATGTTATTATTGATACCTAAGTAACAGGGATGAACAAAATATAGAATCAGAAAATTCCATCTCTATGATCAGCATGGAAAACCTCTACAAAACAGCAATGTAGCAACATAGCTCTATGTAATTAGCACAGAGAGTTCAGGCAAAGAATATCTTATCAATGCCATGGAAAAGATTTCTTACAAACTCGTCTACATGTATGCACATTCTTCTCCTAATACAGAGAAACCTGCCTCACTGAATATCTCTTCTATAAAAAGCAAAATAAGTATGCATGCCAATCTCATTTCTACATTCTGAACAAAGGAATGCTCAGTTCTGCATTTATTCAAAACAGGAATTACATAGTGAAGATACTTACTTTGTGACTGCCAATGCCTTGATGGTTATTTTCCCATCTGGTAATGTAATTGGCCCCTTATACTTAAAAGTATTATGATCTCTATAATCAAATCTCTTAAAATATTGTGGTTTACTTCCATCAATAGTAAAATGTATCATCACATCAGGTGTATCTGAAAGACAGTAATAAGGAACTCCGCATCATTCCTTTCTGTACGACATCACACATTCATTTATAAAAAACTAAACACACAGGCAAACATTTATGTCACAGATGTCCAAAAAGAAAAAAGAATTTATAGGCTCTGGAAAGTAGTATATTTGGAAAGCAGTCATGAAAATGTGGGACAGCTTACTAGAAAGTTGAGCATATCAGTATCAGCAATGATATACAGAACCAGTTTGGTATTGTGGCTAAGGCATCAGGCTAGAGACTGGGAGACTGGGAGTTCTAGTCCTGCCTTAAGCACAAAGCCAGCTGGGTGACCCGGGGCCAGTCACTCCCTCTTAGCCCTAGGAACCAGACAATGGCAAACCACATCCAAAATCTTGTCAAGAAAACTGCAGGGACTTGTCCAGGCAGTTGCCAGGAGTCAAATGTGATTCAAAGGCACACACACAATGCTATACAACTTTATGGTGCAATAATTGCATTTAAAAGTATTATACATTTATATTCTGTTTAGTGCCAAATTAAATTTTTTTAAAAAAAATTTCATTTAAAACTAAAATTTATTTCAAAAAAGACATTATCTACAAGTGGACAGATAATTACTGGTTATACAATTAATGTGCAATATAATATTAATGTAATATACCAAACACTGAGTTGTTTTCATCATATAAAAAAATATATACATTTTTGAGCTTAATGCCAAAATCCCCACTACATTATTATTTTTAAATGTTAAAACAGCAACAATGAAACACCCCTATAAATAATATAGTTAAATATTTAATTTCTGACTTCCTCCTTTATACTCCAATTGATTTGCAGTACCTATTGGCATAGACTTTAGAATTGGGCCAAATTAAAACTATGGATATTTTCAGCCCATGTGAAATACATCTCTCCTGGTATGGCTGCACTTAATGTTTTATTGTTCTGTTTGTTTCATCTGAATTAATAATCTTTTCTATGTTAACCTGATCTACAGTATATTTGTTTGCAATAAACCACTTCAAAGTGAGGATCATGAATCTAATTTATTTTAAATAAAGTGTAATCATTAATCAAAGTTTAGGATCCAGAAAGTGCTAAACTAGTTTAATAATAAATAGAAGTAGAAATGTGCTGCACTTTGGATCTGAAGGAGAAAATGGGTTTAATTAATTTAATTATTAAATTAGATGTGTATTTTCCTGATCTCACACAGTAGCCACAAGATCCCAGGAAAATCCACACCTGAGCTAAGGAGGTATTGACAGTCCACTCATGCTTGCTTTGAAGCACCTTGTCGCACCCTGTCAGTGCCCCCTTATCTCAAAAACTGTTCTGCTTCTGTTGCTCAATTCTTTACCGTGTCATGATGACAACCAGAGGCCAGGAGCTCAGCCTCAGGTCTCTATTTGACTACAGAGTTCACTGGATGATTTCTGATTAATAATACTTTTCAGTCCCAATGTATCTCCTAGGACTGCTGTTGTGGATGATAACATTTGGGAAAACCCTTCAGTTCTGAGTTAAAAAATATGATAGAAATGCAGTTAATGTACAATGGTCTTGAGTACCTGATCTCTCTGAACTTCCCTAACTTGATTCTTTCAGCCTGACCTGGTATTTGCTTGTATAACCATTTTCCTCCAAAGCTTCTTTATATATTTACATAATTATTTTATTCCTTGATATACTTAGCTTTTTTATACATGCTCCCCTCCTGAAATTAGTTTAGAGTAAGAACATTTTGAAGATAGGCTGTGAGTAGACCAATGAATCACATTCCAAAAAGTTCATTATATTTTTAATATAACAATTTAGAATACAGTAAATACCACTCAAGAGTAAAGAAACTTGGAAAATGCAGTTATGAAAAATATCCAGTATTATGGCTGGTGTGGGTCTTCCGGGCTGTGTGGCCGTGTTCTGGAAGTTTTGTTTCCCAACGT